GAGACGGGGTTTCACCGTGTTGACCAGGATGGTCTCGATCTCTTGACCTCGTGATCCACCCACCTCGGCCTCCCAAAGTGCTGGGATTACAGGCGTGAGCCACTGCGCCCGGCCTGAAACACTTATGTTTAGTAAAGTATCTAGGATACACAGTAGCTTTGAAAGAGGCACATACAGGTGATTCATTTGAACTCATAAACACCACTGAAGTAGTGAATAAGAATTTGAATGGTTAAGCACAAGAACATTTTTTTTAAGAGCCAAGAGTGTCGCTCTGTTGTATAGCCGAACTCAAACTCCAGGGCTCAAGTGATCCTCCTACCTCGGCCTCTCACGAAGCTGGGACTCCAGGCATGCACCAACAAGCCCAGCTAAGACTTTTCTTTAATCCATATCTCTTGTAAGAATTTAGTGAGGTTTAACTTAAGTACCACAAATATTAAAGAACACTTTTAAAAGCATTTACTCAAACCATTGTGAGGAACATCACATATGGCTTAGAATATTTCATGATTTTTGGAAAGTCTAATTTAAATCTTTTGAAAGAATTTTCATTTATCTAATTTTTAAACTAGAAATAGCCTGATAAATAAATGTGAAAGAGCATATGAAACATGTCTGTAAAAACCACTAAAATTAGAAGCCTGAAATGACAGGTTTTCATTTGGATGGTACAGAATAATTTATAAGCTACTGAACTTCCCTGCTATTAAAGAATTTTCCAGGCTGGGCATGGTAGCTCATACCTGTAATCCCAGCATTTTGGGAAGCAGAGGCAAGAGGATCCAGGAGTTTGAGACAAACCTGGGCAACAGAGTGAGACCCTATCTCTACAAAAATCAAAACTTAGCCAAGTGTGCTGGCAGGTTCCTGTAGACCTAGCTATTTGGGTCTTCTTCTAAATCACTCGAGCCCAGGAGATAGAGGCTCCGATGAGCTATGATTGTGCCAGGCTATACTCCAGCCTGGATGACAGACAAAGTGAGACCCTGTCTCAAAAAAAACCAAAATCTTAAATTCAAATCTGTGTTTGTTACAATTAACTATCATAACAAATTCATTTAAGATCACGTCTAGTGAAAAAACAGGCTGGGTGCAGTGGTTCACACCTGTAATCCCGACACTCTGCAAGGCCAAGGCAGGAGAATCACTACAGGCCAGCAGTTCAAGACCAGTCTAAGCAACATAGTAAGACCTCATCTCTATAAAAAAATAAAAACTTAGCCAGGTATAGTGGTACGCACCTGTAGTCTCAGTTACAAAAAGAGGGGAAAGGAGGGGAGAGAAAAGAAAATCAACTTTTCCTATTATTAACATTTATCAAATAGAAAAATTCCCACAAAGTTTGTTATTTTTCTCACCTAACAAAGGATGTTCAGAAGTCAAATCTTCTCCTCTCCCCACAGTTATAGCTGCTGGAGACAAAGTGGGTGGTGGTGGGGTTCTATCCATCCGGACACATTCATCTGACTCTTCTGGCATTTCTTCTTCACATACATCTTCTACTTGATAAACCTGCAATGACAAACCACACTGCCTTAGAATGTTTCCAAAACCAAATTTAATCAGGTGTCGTTAATTTCAGAAAATGAAATTGTGTATTAAATTCAAAAACAAAGCAAAAATGACTACTCTGACAGACTGAAAGGAAAACTTCGAAATTGCTCAAATGAAGTTTTTCTTATTTCTTGATAATATCTGACTGAAAGCAAACTGTGGATCAGTATCTAGGCCAAAAATCACTACAGTTTCCAAAAAGATGATAGCCAGGTCTAGATATAGTTTTAATTTTGATAATTCAAAAATACAAATAAAATAAAGATTTGGGGAATTCAACTGTTTTTGTTAACTTCTAATTGTCATAAGTTAAAACAAATACTAACATTTTTCACAGGCACACTAAGTAAATTCCCACAACGGTACATATTAGGACATGCAGGATTTTATCCCAGACTCTTTCTTATTGTTATGTGATTTAAAGATTAAGTTATAAAAAGTAACATCTGAGAATCTACAAAAAAGATATGCAATTATATCTCTCCTTTTCTGTTCTACTCGAGAATCGAATCAATCTTTTACAAAGTAATACATGAGCAGAAAATATCTTTCCTTGAAAAACACACATACACACACACACAGCCTAAGCTATCTGACGCATTATTTTTAATTTTTTTATATCGCTCCATACTTACGGGAGAAAATTTTTAAGTCTATAACTTAACTAGCTTGTTAGCCGTCTGTAAAGATGATACTTAAGAAGGAAAATGGGGCCAGGCGCAGTGGCTCACGCCTATAATCCAGCTCCATCATTGCTCACTGCAGCCTTGACCTCCCAGGCGGAGCCTCCTGAGTGGATGGAACCACAAATGTTCAACAACATACCCAGCTAATTTAAAAATGTTTTTTGGAGAGCTGAGGTCTCAAACTCCTGGGCTCAAGTGATCCTCCTGCCTTGGCCTCTCAAAGTGCTGGGATTACAGGTATGAGCCACTGCACCTAGCCCCATAAATGTTAACTAATAAACAAAAAAACTTTCAACATTCACAATAAACCTTTCAGTGACATCTAATATTGTATGCAATTTAAATCAAACTATTTTAAAAGTTTGATGTTTTAAAGTATATAAAATTATATATATAAAAGCGATCAGGATTTCTGAAACCAGCAAAACCTATGTGTTATAAAAGGGGCAATAAAGTTTCATCTATAAGAATATAATAGTAAGCTATAAAAGAACAATAGGTGATAGTCAAAAATAAAAAAATCTAAGTCTCCACTAAGAATAAAATATCTTTTCTTCTATACAACTTAAAAATGATACTGTTACTGGATAATTTTTTATCAAATATAATACTATGGCAAATATAAAATTCAGAACTGTGATCTGAATCAGCTACAAAGTAGGCAATATTTTTTAAAGTTATTTGCTCACAACCCTGCATCTGGAAATCAGTTTCACTAAGAGAGACTCCTTGCCTCACACCTGAATCTCAGAAGTGAAAGCAGTCATTTGTTATTGTTTAGAGCAACAATTATATCTGCTACATCTGTTCATGACAATAACAGCTTGTTTTAAATGATAATGCCCAATATAGGTAAAATCATTCTAAAATGTGTCTGGGGGTTAAGAAAAAAAATCTTCTAGTCCCCAAGGGTAAGTGCTATCATGGTGAATACTTTAATTTGCCTTAGTGGCAGAGATGTTAATTCAGAAATAATGATACAAGTATGGTTTTATCAACCAGTTCAATTTTATCTATGTAGCGTTCCTTCAGTATAATAGATAGTACTTTTCTTCCAAAGAATGTGATCTTTGCTTAAAATGCTGAAACTCTCTTTAATCCCAATACAGTAACATATTATTCAAACATCTGCTAGAGTATCTTAAGAAATCAAAGCTTGATCATACATAGAATTCTGATTTTTTAAAAAACAGAAGAGTTTAAAGGATGAAAAGAGCCATTAACACAAACAGCATATTTTGAAATAATCCATCAAATACTGTAAAATATTTTTCACCCATTATACTTAAAGCTAACTATACGTACTTCCAGAGCTCTCATAAAGGCTAAGTGCATGAATAAAAGAAGTACACAAAAACAAATCTGTTACAGACATCTGGCACAATAAGCATAAACAAATCTAAATGCAACAACAAAAATGTTGAAAAAAGCAAAGTGGAGATTTTGCTCACTCACAAGATCATTAGGAAACTGCACATCACAATTACTGTTTAGCTCTTAACTATAACTATTCTAAAAATAACAAAGACTGCCAAACTTACCTCAATAAAGTCCAATATTCCCATCTGTTTCCCTTTCCTAAATAAACTGAGGAATATTTATTAGTTCTAAATTGTCTACCCTCAAGATATTTATATCCAAATGTCAAAAAAAAAAAAAACTTTGTTAAGTATCTTTAAAAAGATACTGATTTTTACCTTGAAAATTTCCACTTATCTTTTAAATGTCCACGTCTCTTAAAAAATATATCTTTCTACCTTTAAGTATTTGAAACAACCAGAAAAGTACTGTGAAGAAATGTGTTTTCATGGAAAAAAAAAAATAACACATTTGGTCAAAGCTAATAAAAATAAATAAAAGTTTAATAAAAAGCTATATTACTCAAAGAAAGGTAAAAGATTAAAAAATATTTAGAAAGGTAACATGGAAACATCCATAGTAAGCATAATAACCACATCAGCGATAGCAGAGAAAGTTATTAAATCATTTTTTAAACTTCCAAAACTGTTTTAAAGTAGAAGTGCAGGAAGCAACAAAATATTTTTGGCTTTAGTTTTTAAAGCATTATGCTAATACTATACATATATATGTGTATGTACATATATACACACATATATACACACACATATATATGGGGGGGAGAGAGAGAGAGAGAGAGAGAGAGAGAGAGAGAGCGCGTGCGAGCGAGCACACGCACACGCAAGCGAGAGAGAGCATAACCTCTGCCTCCCGGGTTCAAGCCATTCTTGTGCCTCAGCTTTTCAAGTAGATGAGATTACAGGCATTAGCCACCATGCCCAGCTAATTTTTTTATTTTTTGTAGAGATGGTGTTTCTCCATGTTGGCCAGGCTGGTCTCAAACTCCTGACCTCAAGTGATCCACCTGCCTCACCCTCCCAAAGTGATGGGATTACAGGCATGAGGCACCATGCCCAGCCTTATATTTCTGTCCCAAATTTGCTCCTCCAAAGCTTCCCCTAACGTAAACAATTAAAAAAATATAAGGACTATAAAGAAGTTTTTTTTTTTTTTTTTTTAACTTATTTTTGTCTTTATTTTTAAATGGTATTTTTTTCTTTTCTATTATGCCCTGCCTGGACACTGCCTTATTTTTTACTGGTTAAAAACCAAATCACTGAACTAGGTAGTAAGAAAGTAATTTAAATTTAAAAAATTTGTAAAGGTACTGTGTATTTCCTAAACAGGTGTTTTTGTAACAATATCCATTGTAAACTCCAAAAATTGACTGAAAGAAAATATATACATGATAACTGAATGATAAACCTTAAAAAAATTTTGCTTTCCCTTTTTTTTTTCTTCCCGAGATGAAGTCTTACTCTGTCACCCAGGCTAGAGTGCAGTGGCGCGATCTCGGCTCACCGCAACCTCCGCCTCCTGGGTTCAGGCAATTCTCCTGCCTCAGCCTCCCGAGTAGCCGGGACTACAGGCACGCGCCACCANTTTGAGACAGAATCTTGCTCGGTCTCCCAGGCCACAATCTCGGCTCACTGAAACCTCTACCTCCCAGGTTCAAGCAATTCACCTGCCTCAGCCTCCCAAGTAGCTGGGATTACAGGCATGGCCGCCACGCCCAGGTAATTTTTGTATATTTTTGTGGAGACAGACAAGGTTTCGCCATGTTTGCCAGGCTGGTATCAAACTCCCTGAGCTCAGGTGATCTGCCCACCTCGGCCTTCAAAAGTGCTGGGATTATAGGCGTGAGCCACCACACCCAGCCAAGTTCTGTTTTTAATAAAAATTTATAGAAAATAGAATTCAATCTCTTTGTGCCTATTAAGATCAGTCAGAATGACAAGAATACAAAAATCTATACATTTGTATTATGAAAACCAAAATGTTTTTGCATTAAAACAATGAGGATAATCCAAGTATGAAAACAAAAAACAAGTATTAATAATAAAAAAAATAATTTGAAACTCCTTTCTGAGCGTTTATTAGCTTTTAGGTGATAAAATCTCTTCAATGAAATGTAATACAAATGTAATACAAATAAATTTGTATTTACAAATAAAATAAAATTTTACAGTTTTATTTTACAAATCTTAAAATGTCTTTTAGAGAATGTTTAAAGAAAAGTATTTTTCAACATAATTTTCTTTCTAGGCAACAAGTAATTGTTTTTAGAGGTTTATTCTTAAAATCCCACTACAACCTCAATTATTCAAAACTTTTACTCCTCTAAATGGATTTTTTCATCCTTAGTATTAAATTCTTCTACCAAGATTTTTGAGCTTTTTAAGTGAGAAACATTTTAAGTATATTATTTTCCCTTAGTATAAATAAAAAACTGTAAGTTTAATAATTCTTTAAGATGGCCTACAATGAAATTTTTGGCAAATCTGGACTCTCTCGTAGAATAAATTTTTTTTTACAAAATTTCAACTTCAAAGTATAATTTTACCAAAAAACTACATCACATAAGCATATCCCAACTTGAAACAAAATCCCCAAAGGTCCAGGACTTTAGAATGCATAAAACCAAAAGGGTTAGGCTAGATAAACCATACGTTTTGAGAACATACAAGCCAACAGAAGGGATCTATGAAGGATAATCACCTTAAGAGAAAAAACTTTGTGCAGATGACACTGGTTCAAATGCATTCCCTTGGGGAAAAAAAATCAACTCTGTAAAGATAGCAGATGGATTTGTTTAAATAGTAATAAAATTAACGAGGGACTTTAATTACCATCACAAATTATAAAGCATGCAACCATACTAAACAAACAATGGCATTTTTTTTTGTCCGTACAGCATGTTTGTCAGAACACTGACATATGGAAATTTCAAGCTTTTTTAGTTCATAGGCATTTAGATCTTGCAATAAAACATAGTGTGGGAAAAAAAGTTTTTACTTTCAGTTCAGCAAGAAAGTCAAAGAGCTTCCAAGGGCTTACCACTGGTGGATCAACAGGTGCTGGTGGTTGCACTTGTAGGTTTACCGCAACAGTCTGTGGAGGAGGAAGAGTCTGAAATGGCAACTGGACCAAAGCTTCTGCGGCTGGAAGCTCCTCTTCTGACACCAAAGCATTCTGCACCAAAACCTGGCCCTGGGACAGAATTTCAGGCTGCACTTGTAAAGACTGCATAGACTGCAAGGGCAGTGGTGGAATCTGAGCTGGAGGAGATGTCGACATCTGTGGAGGACTTGCAATTGGGATTGGAGAGGACTGCAGGGTTGAATATTGCTGGTGTGATGGAGAGACAATTTGCTGGCCTGGGGATACCAAGGCAGACTGTTGAACTGGGCCAATGTGTACAACAGGGGAAGCTGGAAGTGGAAGATGAGATGGAAGATTCAACTGTGCTGTAGGTTGCACCTGATTAGTAGTGGACTGCTGCAAATTTGGCCCTGGCTGGAGAGCTGATGACACAAGAGGATGTGGCTGAATAAGTGCTTGCGGATGAATAATTATAGTAGGAGACTGACTTGGTGAATGAGGTGGTGGAGGAGATACCACTACAGACTGCTGTGCTGATTGTGACTGGTTAGGAGACACTGTTAAAGGAGGGGGATGACTCTGAATTGGTGAACAATGCTGTGGCTGGGTATTACTGGGAGCTGGAGGAAGGCCATGGTTCTGGAGTGGTATACAGTGCTGGGATGGGGGTGGGTCTTGAGTTGGATTCTGAAGTGTGATTGGCTGAATTTGCTGTTGCTGCTGTTGTAATATCAGCTGATGATGGGAAACTTTGGAAGGTGGTGAATGAAGAGGAATCTGCTGATGTTTTATTAGAGAATGAGGCTGAATTGGAGAATATGAAGCTGTGAGAGAAAAAAATGACAATTAGTATTGATTTCAAACATATAGAAATTTTTAAATAAATCTAAAGGAAAAAGTGTTCATATCAGGTCATAATCATCAGAATTCTATTACAAGTTTTCCAGATAAGAGTAATTTGAAAAAAAATTTTTTTTCTTTTTTTGAGACAGTCTTGCTCTTATTACCCAGGCTAGAGCGCTGTAGTACAATCTCAACTCACTGCAACCTCCACCTCCCTGGTTCAAGTGATTCTCCTGTCTTTGCCTCTTGAGTAGGTGGGATTACAGGTGCCCCCTACCATACCTGGCTAATTTTTGTATTTTTAGTAGAGACGGGGTTTTATCATGTTGGCCAGGCTGGTCTTGAAACCTGACCTCAAAGGATCCACCCAACTCAGCCTCCCAATGTGTTGGGATAATAGGCGTGAGCCACTGTGCTCAGCCTGAAAATTTAATGACAAACAGGTTTTCCTTGGAAAACTATACAATTTCATAAAATGCACTGAACTGTGGTAAGTTCTAAAAGAAAACTACCTAAAATTGAATAATCTGAATCTATATATGATTTATTCTTATATTTTATAGGTAATCTGAATATCTACATTAACTTTTAGCAAAGTTTATACACTTGAATTTCTTCTTTGTAGGAAAAGAGTATCATCATAGGACAAGTATAACATATATAATTTCAAAATCATAAGAATGCTATATTAAAATTCATAAAATAAATATCTCATCCTTTCTAGTCCACATCTAAACATGTTTCCAACTAACAGTCAAGGTAATTACTTATAAAGCTCCCCATATGAGTTTCCATTTTTGAGCTGAGATGAAAGGAACATCATTTGTCCCAGAAATGTTTTATATAATAATTTAACGTGATTAAGCAAAAGACGTGTGAATCATGTAGCTTAGTTAAATAATCACCGTAACTAACAACTGAAATTTAGGGACCATTCTAAATCTAGAAAAACACTAGTTTTGCTTGCAAAGAATGAGACAATCAGAAGCCCATGCTACCGAAATAAGGGATTTTGTTAACCCTTTTCCCTCACCAAAAAAACCCTTCAACAATTGATGTGACAGTATCAGGTTTTCTCCACAAAGAAGCCACTCTCAACAGGAATAAATATATGTAAGAAACGGCACAGTCAAGTGGTAGGAAGCTCCCCCATCATTACGCCTTTTCTGTAAACTGGTGGCACATGTTTATATAAAGGGAGATACTGGTGAAATTCTCCCTAAGAATGGAAACTGAGTTCACAAGAAGATAAACTGAAACAATCACTTATTGTTAATATCATGTAAAAATTACACACATTTAACACAGATTTAAAGACAGGGCAATTTTTTTTTTTTCCTAATCTTGGAATATTAGGAGAAAGACTATATTATACCTTACATCTATTTTTTGTGTTCAGCCACAATTGTGACAATAACTTTATAAAAACTTCCAACAACTTTTTAAAAAAACATTTTTACATTTTATTATTTAAAATTTTTAGAATCCTTTAAAGAAACTAACCTCTGATTAACATCCAAACAAGAGGCATTTAGAAAGTTCAATAAATATCCACTAATTACTAAAAAAAGGATATCAAGTCAACAAAATAATTTTCATATAATACCTAGGCTAGTACTTCACACTAAGACTAAAAATTTTATGTCAGATCTTTAAAACTGTGTTGATAGAGACTCATGTTATAGAGTATTCACAAAGGGTGAATTAAGAAAATCTTAGATTTCTATAGAGTGCCCTTCAACCAAGGGGCTCAAAGGGCTTTCACAGGTCTCTCATTCACACTTACAAAATGTCTGTGGTATAGGTAAGTATTATTATCTCTCTTACAGATAATAGATTTTTTTGCAAGCATACTAGCAAAGGCCCACTTTAATTCAATTTTTTAAGTAAAGTTTTAATTTAAATTTACCATACTCTTAAAGTACCATGGATATTATACCTACTAGAATAGCAATTCTGGCTGGATGCAATGGCTCATGCCCGTAATCCCAGCACTTTGGGACGCTGAGGCAGGAGGATCACCTGAGGTCAGGAGTTCAAGATCAGCATGGCCAACATGGTGAAACCTCTTCTCTACTAAAAATACAAATATTAGTCAGGCATGGTAACACACACCTGTAACACAGCTACTACTCAGGTATAACATATATAAAGATAACTTCAAAATCATAAGAATGCTATATTAAAATTCATATAGCACTTGAACTCAGGAGGTGGAGGTTGCAGTGAGCCGAGATCGCACCACTGCACTCCAGCCCAGGCTTAGGCATCAGAGCGGGACTCCCATCTCAAAAAAAATAAAAATAAAAAGAATAACAATTATTTCTGTGCTCTGGTAAGTAAGCAAGTAAGCAATCTTTTTATATCCTAGAGCTGTGACAATTCAATAGATTAGCAATCTATCCTTTCATTTAAATTACATTTTTCTGTTTATTTAATATTACTCCATAAGTCCAATTGATAAGCACATATATTATAGAATAATTATGAGGATATATGAAGCAGTAACTCTGTAAAAGAAAAGCCCTAGTGCTCTGGAAAAAAAGTCCTATCATGTTGGTTAATTTCTCTGATTTTAAAAAACATTTTCTTATTGTCACAGTGGCTTTATATTGAGAGAATTAATGGTTGACATCATCTCTCACACATATATAACTCTATTATTTACAATAACACATATTATTTCATTCAGTAACTACAACAACCCCATGAAGTTGACAGGGTACTATACCAATCCAACATACTACAGATGAAGAAACTCTGACAGGGTACCATGCCAATCCAACATATTACAGATGAAGGAACTCTGAGTAGTTAAGTGACTTGCCTGAAATCATCTGGCTATTAAGGACAGCATTAGGTCTAAAAGAATCTATGATCCTAACTGAGTCCAGGGCCCTGTTATAGACTGAACGTTTGTGGGACAAAATTCATATGCTGAAGCTTTAATTCTCAATGTGTATTTGTAGACGGGAGGAAGTAATAAAGGTTAAATGAGGTCATAAGGGTGGTAGACATGACATGGTTTGTATCCTTGTAAGAAAAGACATCAGAGAGCTTCTGCTCCTTCCACCCTCTACACACTCAAATGAAGGGCCATGTGAGGACATCTGCAAGCCAGGAAGTGAGCCCTCACCAGAAGCTGAACACTGCTAGGCCTTGATCTTGGGTTTTCCAGCCTCCAGGACTGTGAGAAAATGAATTTCTGCTCTTTAAGCCACAGTCTATAGTATTTTGTTACAGCAGCTGGAGCAGATTAATTAATACAGGACTTTCTCACTACACAATGAATTAATGTCTACAAAAAACAGTATATATTTTTTCCAATTAGACTAGTTTCACAAAAGTTCTAAAAACTGATTTAAAAACTTTAGCTCTAATACAGTCCATAATTATTTCCAGACACTTAAAGTTTGACCTTATTTTACATATTAAAAACAGAATTTACTAAGTAGCAAGTGGAAACTCCACCTTCAAAAAGAAATGATAAAGAAAACCAAGTTACTTTAGCACCCTAAAAATACACATAACAATAACCATGTCCATTATAATAATTATTAGACTACACTACATTCAAATAAAAGATTTTTTTTTACATTTAAAATGACCTGAAGGAGCATTTTTTAATTGAGGACAAATTATCAATTCAGAATCTCTCAAAATATCTTAGCTTCAGATTAACTTCCTACCAATAAAAGTAGAAAAACTAAGAAGGTGAAAAAATACAGCTGTAGCCTTAACAGAAGATATGAATGGCTTTGAATAACTTCAGTGTAAGGCTTAAGAAACTTTTAAGTAGTTTAGGATTTTCTCTGTGGTTTTGTTTCTAAACAACAAGAGTTTGAGTAATACATGTAAGATCTGAATTTGGAATTAATTTGACCTGAGACTCTGGTGGTTTTTGGCTTACTGGTTTCCTCCATACTTACATAAGATACTGATCATCAGAGGAAGGTAAACTATAAACACATTATCACACTATTAATGAAAGATGGAAGAGTAAGTTGCAATTCAGAACCAGGTACTGAGAATTAAGAAGGACTAAAAATCCCAAAGTAGGTCTCCTTGCTTGAACTAACCCTGAAAGAGTTCCAAGCTTTCTCTGAAAGTAACATTCTCTTCGGAAAGAAATTAACCTACCCTTCATTGTAATTTATAAAAACTGCAGTAATCACTAGAAATTGTCCCTGAACAGTCATTCTAAGCACTGTGGGTCACTGCTGCTCCATATTGACTGTCAAAACGGGCTGGATGCTGGCTTGAGGCTGACAATACTCTTGTATAGCAGTGTAAAAACCCAGCTTTTAAGCCATACAGAGGGCAGAGCCTGGCGCACAGCAGTTTAAAAAAAAAGAATTCACATGTAACTGTACTATGAATAGATTTATTAATTTACACATTATATCAAAGCCTACATTATATAAGATTCAGATTTAACAATTCTAAGCATAGTGATATCTAATCAGTACCAATAAGAAAGACTGCTATAATTCCTAAAATCCAAATGGGAAAAAAAGAACTATTAATCCAACAAATATGTACTGCCCACCTAATATAGGTAAGTACATATAAGGTACAACTTAGTGCTGTCAAGATAGAAGGATGTAAAGGTGAATCTAAAAAAGGATTAAAGAGTTAATCAATGTAAAGTACTAGCATAGTACCTCACACATACATAAATGCTCAATATTATTATCCTACCCTCAAGGAACGTACTATCTAGCAGAGAAGCTAAGATTTAGTATACAAATAACTATAAAAGAAAAAGAACCAGAAGGGACCATAAAATGCTATAAAATTTCAGAGTAAGGAGAAATTTCCAACTAGGGTAATCAAACAATTCCACAATTTTGAAATTCAGTGATGTAGAGAATGCTGGCAATATTAACACAGAAGAAACATGAAAAGTGAAAATAAGTTTAAGTGGAATATTTTACACTTACATCTAAGCATAAAAAAAAAAAAGACTCTGAAAAGTAAAGCAGCATTATAAAAGGACAGAAAAAGGATGCTTCCCTGATGAGGTTGCTGGAACAAAGAAAGTTTGTTTGTTTGCTTGTTTTGAAACAGAGTCTTGCTCTGTTGCCCAGGCAGGAGTGCAGTGGTGTGATCTCGTCTCACTGCAATCTCCACCTCCTAGGTTCAAGCAATTCTCATACCTCAGCCTCCCAAGTAGCTGGGACTACAGGTGCACACCACCATATTCCACTAATTTTTGTATTTTTAGTAGAGACAGGGTTTTGCCACACTGGCCAGACTGGTCTCGAACTCCTGACCTCAAGTGATCCACGTACCTTGGCTTCCCAAAGTGCTGGGATTACAGGCATGAGCCACTGCACCCGGTCAGATTTTTTTTTTTTTAATGAAACCATTTATTATGTGTCTAGCCCATTGCAACACACACACACACACACACACACAAGCTATAGTTATAGTAATTTAAAAAAACATGCAGATCCATTAAGAATAAGAGAGACCTAATTATAGCTGAGAAGCAGAGGAAAGGATCTAGCATGAGAAGATAAAAGATGTTGTAACAATTATGTACTAAAGAAGGTCAGGAGAGGTATTAAAAAAATGGTGGGATCAACAACAGGGGCAAATGGTGCTCAGTTTAAGAATACACGTAATTCTTTATCTATTAAAATTAAAGAAAGTTTAATTCTGAGAAATTTTGANCAAGCTCACTCTGGATGGTCCCAACATTTTCAGTACAAAATGAGGCAAGATTATCTGGTTAAAGTAAAGGCAACACAGGTAGAATTCAAAGCTTAAGGGGAATGACAATGACTCAGTTGACTGCCTGAGATGATCCTGTCAGAGATGAAGCCAAAGACAGAAAAAGGCAACAACATAAGGAAAGTAATTATGCATAATCCTATGCTTCAAAGTGACAAATTTCTCCCATGATAACAACTTTAAACAAAACGGTATACTGTTTTTTTTTTTAAAGCTTTAAAAATTATCCCACCAAAGTGTATTAAATAAACTACAGGCAAATCTTTCTTTAAAGCTAAAAGGTTTTATCAACATAAGGAGAGACCAGCACTTAAAGATGTTAATCAAATGTCATTTAATTTAAAAAACCTATTACATTGCTACAATTTATTTTAGTTCTTGGGCTTGTTTGTCTCTTTTCAAGCTACATATTAAGATTATTTAATTTATAAAATCCACATTTTAAAATGTTTTAAAGGTGTCACTCTTGTTCAGGTCATGAACATCCTTTGTTTTTGCTCTAAGAAAATGAATAATACAACTATTTTGAACAAAAGTTTTATCCTACCTGGTGCTATTAACTGATGAATACTTGATGTCCGGGTGACAGCTGTGCTTCGTGATTCCAGACTTGGGCTTTCTCCTTTCTTATTACTTTCTGGAGAAGGATCTCGTTGGCTGATTTTAGAACTGGTCACTGTTGTTTTGTTATGACAAATTGTCAATGACTGAGTTTGACTAGTGCTTTTTGGTGGACCATTCTGTGAGCTAGATAATACACCCAACTTCTGGCTGCGTAATGTTAAATTCTGAACCTACGAACCACATAACAGAAAATTAGGATGAAAACAGATGGTTTTAATTGATGTGGTAATCATTACCATTGTGACAATACTGACAACACATTTATATTATGCTTTTCATACATAAAGCTCCAAGCACTTGAAAGAACTGATTAATCCTTAAGGAGAGTTATTCTTTTAAGTAATCACATCTTAAATATTAAGTGGCAATTTTTAAAATACATTAAGAGGAAGAGGGGAGGAAGGGGGAAAAAAGAAAGGGAAGAAGAAGGGAAAAAAAGAAAGGAAGGAAGAAAGGGGGAGGGGAGGGGAAGGAGAAGGGAGAGAAGGATCATAAAAAATTAAACAAAAACTATATATATATATATATATATATATATATGCAGTGTGTGTATTATATATGCATGAACTATGAATATGAGGAAATTACTCTGCAACATAACTGCATTAAAAGTTACCAGTTCTAGCTATAGAGATTATAAGGGGACATTAACCTTGTAAGAAATTAATTCATCAAATCATCTGCCACATTGTGAAAATTACAAAAAGCATTTTCAAAAGAACTATTTTAATTTAGTAAAATTTTGGTGTTACTGTTGTTATTGAACATTCACTGTCTTTGAAAACTGCATCTCATGAACTGTAAAGAGTGTGCATGACCCTGAAACGGCTTTCTGTGGTGGTTCATGCTACACTCGGGGCTATTTGAAACATACTGCCAGTCTAGACGGTGGCAAGGATTATCCCAATTACTCTCACCTGACATTTATAACATTTCCAAACAGCAAGACACAAGACAGAAAATGCTTCTCCCAAAGTTGCTGAACTTTTTGCCTATCTAGAATGAATGTACCAAATACATGTAGGCTAGCACTGGCCCTGGGAGAGAATCTGAAATAAAAGAAATTCCAGAATGACAAAGCAAATGATATAGTGCTGCTTTATAAAATGTTCTTCAGTTTCATGTGTTCTGTCTCTACAAGTACATCATTAAAAGATGCTCAAAAAGCTATACTTTCTCCCAGCACTTTGGGAGACCAAGGCAGGCAGATCACCTGAGGTCAAAAGTGTGAGACCAACCTAACCAACATGGTAAAACCTCGTCTCTACTGAAAATACAGAAACTTGCCAGCCATGGTGGCCTGTGCCTGTAGTTCCAGCTACTCGGAAGGCTGAGGCAGGAGAATCACTTGAATCTAGGAGGCAGAGGTTGCAGTGAGCCGAGATCATGCCACTGCACTCCAGCCTGAGAAACAGAACGAGAGTATGTCTCCAAAAAAAAGCTCTACTTTCTCAGTAATTCCACACCTGTACTTCCAGCATTTTGGGAGGCCAAGGTGGGTGGACCACTTCAGGCCAGGAGTTTGAGACCAGCCTTGCCAACATGGTGAACCCATCTCTACTAAAAATATACAAATTAGCCAGGCATGGTGGCGGCGCATGCCTGTAATTCCATGCCTGTAATTCCTTGGCAGGCCGAGGCACAAACTGCTTGGGCCTGGGAGGTGGAGGTTGCAATGAGTTGAGATATTGCGCCATTGCCCCCCGCAACCTGGGCAACAGAGTGAGACTCTGTCTCAAAAAAACAAACAAAAAAACGCTATACTTCAGGCCAAAGTTTTCATCAGTTCTATTCGAAGCTACTCAAAGAATTTTCTAAGTAAAATCTTATGGAGTATCTTCTCTGATTTTTCTCAAATATTTCATACCAATGTAAACATAAATGGACTAATAACTGGTATATTATTAAAGTTTAATACAAAAACAAAATATACCGGCAGGGCACAGTGGCTCACACCTGTAATCCCAGCACTTTGGGAGGCCAAGGCAGGTGGATCACAAGGTCAGGAGTTCAAAACCAGTCTGGCCAATATGGTGAAACCCCGTCTCTACTAAAAAGACAAAAATTAGCCAGGTGTGGTGGCAGGTGCCTATAGTCCCTACTACTCGGGAGGCTGAAACAGGAGAATCGCTTGAACCTGGATGGTGGAGGTTGCAGCGAGCCGAGATTGTACCAATGCACTCCAGCCTGGGAAACAGAGTGAGACTCCATCTCAAAAAAANTCTCACTTTGTCACCCAGGCTGGAATGCAACAGCTCGATCTTGGCTCACTGCAGCCTCAACCTTCTGGGATCAAGTGATCCTCCCACCTCAGCCCCACAAGTAGGTGGGACTACAGGCCCACACCACCACGTCCTACAAATTTTTGTATTTTTTTGTAGAGATGGGGTTTTGCCATGTTGACCAGGCTGGTCTTGAACTCCTGTGCTCAAGCAATCCGCGAGCCTCTGCCTCCCAAAGAGCTAAGATTACAGGTATAAGCCACTTTGCCTGGCCTAAAAATTCTTTAAGTGGTTGCTTTTCTCCCTTCATTATTAGTTACCTGAAAGCTAAGAACCAACTTTGTGACTCATTTTCAGACAATGCATAACAAAAACAGTAATTAGTAGCCTGTGATATCTTACTTGTGGCAGGCACTATGTTAAGTACTTTATTGTTTCACTTACTCCTTATAACAACTCTGAGCCCCAATTATCAGCTCCGACAGTAGAGATGAGTTGTTTTAAATAAATGAAACAATTCAGTAAATGAAACATTTAGTAAATGCTATCAGATTTAATCCTGGCAGAAACTTTATGAAATATTAGATTATAAATGTTATTTTATTTTACATAATTGACACTGAGGTGAAGAGGTTAAGGACTTAATGGTAGAGCAAGTATTTGAACCCAGAGATTCTGGCTCCAAAGTCCGTATTATAAACACTATGCTATACTACTATGAACTTGGCCAAAATCAATCTGCTGGCAAATAATGTTGCTAAAGTCAGAATTTGAATCCAAGTCTTCCTATCTCCAACTTTTGCAAAAAACAAAACTACTTACTGAGTGCCTGTAATGTCTTACACACTAAAGATACATATTACTTATCCTTTTACCCTACAAATATGAGTAAATACTAGAGTTGTTTGGCAACTTGTCCACAACATACAATAAATGACTGAAGTAGGAGCTTAACTTAAGGCCACACAAAACTTCACACAGGTAAGCTGAGCAGCAACTTCACTCCTAGCTCCATGCTTGGAAATAGTTTCATTTGTGTCTTTTTTCTTCCATGCTTCCAACTTACGTTTTATTCCATGCATCTTGTAAATGAATTAAAATCTTAGTTGGAACAATGTCAAATATAAATGAAAAAATAAAATTTAAAATGTTGGAAGTTGATGATGGTCTAGTTCTATTAGGAGAAAACCTCCTAATAATTGTTTCATAAAACCAAAACAAAAGAAAAGGAGATCATTATTTCAGGCTGGCACAGTGGCTCACGCCTGTAATCCCAAAGTTTGGGAGGCCTAAATAGGCAGATCACTTGAGCTCAGGAGTTCAAGACCAGCCTGGGCAACATGGCAAAACCTTGACTCTACAAAAAAATACAAACATTAGCCAGGCGTGGTTGCACATACCTGTAATCCCAGCTACTCAGGAGGCTGAGGTGGGAGGATGGCTTGAGCCCAGGAAGGTCAAGGCTGCAATGAACCATGATTGAGCCACTGTACTCCAGCCTGGGCGACACAGTGAGACCCCATCTCAAAAAAAAAAAAAACAAAAAAAAACACAACTAAAATCCAGATTTCTCAGACTTCCACTCAAAGCCCTCCACAACCTAGGCCAAAACCACTTCAAGCCCCCAGTTGCTATTCCTCCAGCCCACAGTTCTTGTATTCCAGCCAAACTGTTCTGCTCGTTATTCTCCAAATATACCTTCCACTACCTTCAGTGGAACTGAAGCTCTTATTCAAGCACCTCTTGCCTAAATGTCATCTTTTCTCAAAGCTCTCTTTTGAAGCCCAACCCATTCTTCAAAGCCCAGTAAAATCCCACTTGCTCTACCCTAAGAAACATTCCCAAAAGCCCTGGTTAGAAAAGAGTTTCTTCCTCTCTTCCAGAACAACTTTCTCATAGAATTTGGGTTATACTGGCCTATAGCATTGACAAATATCTAACTTGTTTGACAATTATTAAAGGTATGTGTATCTGTGAAATACTGAGACTCGCTAGTAGACTCTCACCTCAACATTCAATTTTATACTCCCTGCAGTTCAGTGCTGCAGGTTTAATAGAAACTTCACAAGTCTGAGGTATTCTCCTGTATCTCATTTTGAAATATATATTACATGGCTAATTTTTTGGTAAGCACTTAGTTCTCTTCATGGTGTTCTTAGGCTAACACTAAAATCTGTTCGTGTTTACCAAAAACATCTCAACAAGTATCTAGTGGAGGCACATTAAACTCTTCCAGGAAGCGAAAGACAAAATTTAACATTTGCCACAGATGACATATGAAGCAGGCTGCATAGTAACGATAACCAAAGGGTGAGTAATAATCTGAAAAACTTGAAAGCATTCCTTCAAATGAGAAGTATATTCACAGTAAATGAGGATTTGACACAATGAACCCTAAAACCTACAGCATATTCATTTCTATACAATAATATACTTTTTGTTTTTAATTTTCCTTATGTTTTCTGGAATTCTGAAAGAAAATGTGTATATACTTACACTATATTGTATATATATGTTATTTATGTGAACATATAAATTTTAGAATATCGCTATATCTATGATCATTTTGACTTAAATGTTGACATGGTTTAAATAAATTCCAAACATGAAAGCTACACTGCCAAAGTAGATTACAAAGTCAATGCAGCTGTTAGTGGAAAGATCACATATACAGATTTCCTTGACAAAGCTTCCCTTTTGAAAGAAAACCCATCCTTTCTAAAATGAAGACTATTAGGGCACTCTGATGTCCCACATTCATTTCATCCGAACCTTTCCTTTGATCAAATTATGAAAACTTTCTGACTTTTGAAAAAGTCTACATTTCGCATGAGTTATTTTTGCTAATTTTGCATCTTATATTGTTATAGAGGGCTTCCCTGCCAAAATATTCTCACATCAATTATTTAACTGGAATCTAACAAATACTATGGCAATTATCATAGTAG